ATGTTCTTTCTGTGGTCTGGTATGGAGAATTAAGCTGAGAGTTTTGGGGGGAATATATTATGATTTCATATGAGTGTATTTTAATATCAGTATGCACTCTGGATAAGATGACGATCTACAGAATCAACGGGAGCTGATTTGTGTGGATTTTATGGGATTACAAATGATCAATCAGCTCTCAAATACAGTCATTTTGTGTGTTTCTTCACATGTCCGTGACCATCAGTAGTCACTCAAACTAGATTTAAATCATTAGACCTTCAAGAAACGCATACAAGGACTGTGTCTCGTCTGGCGGTTGTCGTGTCAACGTGTGTCTCTATTCAATTAAATGGAGGGAGGCGATGGAGGCATCCACACGTGAAATCTACGAATTAGCTGTGAAATTGCTGTTATTTGCCACCAATTGTTTATGACTCAGTACACATTGTTTTCCCTCTTTTTTTTGTTGTCTCATTATTATGGCCTGGCCTTTAAGGACGTTTTGAGGATGGATGCACACACAAACTCACCAACAAGGAGGCTTTTGAATTGATTTGATTTTTAGTGAACATTAACACAAACACGTAACGTTTTAAGAGCGACTGCAACACTTTAAACATTTGTTTCTGTTATAATAGCTCCTCCTGTCTCTTCTTCTTCCCTTCACCTCCTGTCTCTAAGCAAGGGAAATTGTGCAGAAACTTTATTCCATCTGGCCTCCAGTCTTGTCACTTCTTTGTCACTCTCATCAATGTCTTGACACACAATCGAATCAAATAACACACAGAACAAGACAATCTGAGGCTTAAAGACTTCTAGTTCGCTGAAAGCTTCAAGGGCTATAGGCGTCACCTGAAGTACACATGGACATTATACATGTGCCCACACACTGCTTTCTCTGTTCACTCAAGGCCACTGCTCAATCCTCCATTTCATATGGCTGCATATGTATGTTTTTGCTTATAAGTAGAAGTAACTCGTCAATTTCTCTATAAAATGCAATGAGAGGGTTTTCTCTTTCTCCCCAAAGCAAGCCAGGACTCTTTAACAAGTTGATATATATCTATTTAATGATTTGCTTTAAGACATAACAGGCATTTATTATTTATATATTTGTAGGACCATGTCTTTCCCCCATTTTTCACTTTTTGAGGTCCCTCAAAAACGATTGAAACAGCGCCCCCCTAGATTTGAAATACAATCCGTGTGGCCAGAAGGAGTACTGCAGGCTTATTGCGGTCTACCTGGGAGCACAGGTGGAAGTTGTTATCCCTAATTAGACATAGTTAAGTATCAAACAATGGAGCAGCTTCTGTAAGGCCACTGTGGAACTGAGCGGACACGTCGCTGGAAAAGAAGAGATGAAGTTATTGGTGAAACCTGACAAACTCTGTCAACACTACAAACAAACAGAAAGTTAACTAGGTCATTTAAATTAAACAACAGTTTAGCTCTCTAGTGAAAGTAACGTTCGCTAGTTATAGTCAGTGTTGCTAACGTGCTACGGTAGCCGCCACAGAGAGGAAACAAACAAACAAACAAACTTTCAAAGCAGCGAGTGCAGTTGAACATCTCCATGAAAGAAAGAATTGACTTCGAGAACAAATGTGAGTAATATACACTTTATCTCTGTTTGTCTCTTTGATTACTGTTTGTTTTTCTGATACAAAAGGTATAACATTATACTTTGTATTTAAGCTGTGCTGCATAGTGAGTATTGAGCATATCGATAAGAGCCAGTAAGTCATGTATTTGATTTATGCATTGATACCCTTTGATGTGAACAAAACGTTATAGATCTGTCTTATAGAATGTCTTGTCAATACTCAGCACGATCTATACTTCTAATAGAGTACATGCTTTCTAGTACTCTGTCTGCTTAGAATTATGGCTGGGAAAAAAAATCACAATATTTTTGACCAAATATTTAGATATGGATATTGTGTTGTTGACTATTGGCGCTTTCACAAAATATTTACACAATGCCATTTTTGATAAATAAGCATCATTAATGTGGATATAATGTCGAAGTGGGTAAAGGCAAATAATAGAACAGAAGATTACATCACTTTACTCTAATGCAGCCTTTGAAACCAGGAAAAGACACCAAAATCGAAGCCGATATTCTCCCACTGAGGATATACAATGGAAACACAAGTAAATCTATGGTATATGCATTGTGTTTATTTGTGAACATTAACCTGTAAAATGGGCGCTTAGTTTCAGAGTTAATTTATTTGGCCCCTGTGGTTAAAATGGGCCAGAGCTGGCACTGAACAGACGAGAGGTGACAGGCTGGTTCCTGTCGGTGGAGGCTAAATATGGGACACAGACTGCATCACACTGCTGACTGTCTCCTCTTACAAGTGCAGAAACAAACTAATCTGATTAGTGTGTATCCCCCCTCTCGATGCTGAATGGAGTCCAAGTGCCAGTGGCTCAAAACTGACAGTTTTCTGCTGTTCTTCCAAGTAGTGCTGTTAGCTACGAACTCATTCCCTTTTTCTCACCAATTACT